GCAAGAGTTATGCAAATATGCGGCCAAAGGCAGGAGGAGAAAATGCCGTTGGAAAATATGAAAATGCTCCGCCTCTTGGCTTTGTTTGTCTAAACTTAAATGGGGTTTTCGGGGTGCGCAGGAGGGGAAAATGGCTTAGGAAGAGTTAAATTTGACTTTGGCTTTGGCTTTGGCCCACTTCCGACAGCTAATCTCCTACTTTCCCGCTACTGACTTTCCCAGCTGCCTTGGCTTAATTAATTTTTAAGACATTTTAGAAGGAGAAGGCCAAGGGTGGATGGTTATATATAGGAGTGTGTATATATAGTAATGCAAATCTGTGGGCGACAGCTCAAGCGGAGTTGCGCATACGCCGTGTTGTCTGACATTGCACGCCGGCTGACACTGATTAATTGGCTAGTGTCTCCGGAGCTTCTGCTGCAAGACTGCAAGACAAATTAGGAAATGCGGTCTTCTATCCTTAGTTACTCGTACATATCCCCTTAAACCAAAGCTGCTCTTCCAAATTCAATCACCTCAAAAGTCACTACGAAATTAGCCAAAAAGTTCAGCTCACTTTGTTGATCTTGGCTAATGCCCAAAGCCATGGCCAAAAGGTAGCCATCTAAACAACTGACCAAAAGTTGGACTAAAGTGTTTGACATGTCCTGGTTACCCTTACCCTTTCCCTTTACACTTTGGCACAGAATTCATCCTAAAACCCAATGTGCATGCGGAATGTTCGACAAAGTTTGCATTGTGTGGGCGTGGAAAAGGGGGTCTGTACATTAGGTTACCTGCGACAGGCGAGCCGTAAACTTAAAACACCTAAAGTTTCTACCTGCTCTTTACGGGAACTTTGTAGACTTTTCAATTGATGTGCAACTTAATCCAAATGGGACATTACCTGCAGCCATTCCGTTTAATCTGTCGGTTATGGACTTGTCTTTCACATTAGTTTACATTCTTAATCGGCTTGACGTATCTGAGTTTGCGTACAGGTGCATTTAAGTAGTTGTTTTCTCTGTACTTAGAAAATCTTGTTTTTTCAAAAGCAGCTGGAATTTTATCTGGACTTGTTTTGCAAAGTTGTTATTCTTTTTCTGCGGGATTGCCACTTATGTTCCATATTATCAAGATTGCTACCTTATTTTTACGTCAGTTTATAGCATTGCTAGTAATGGTATTACTTCCTGTGACGTATTTAGGTATAGAAAATAAAGTTATTTTTAATTATAAAAGTGTCATTCTTTATTGAACAGTTTTCGAAACTTGGTCCGAGAGTAGATCAAACTTTTATTTGTTATTTTCGGTTTGTTGAGAAGAACATTGCCTCTAGTTAAAAGTTTTCCGTCAGATAACCTCTAACTTGATGTTGAGAAACTAAGTTTTTCCGAAACAGAAACTTAACAGGATGACAAGAGATAACATGGCATTAAGAAATCGGACCTAGGTGAAATTGATTTTAACCCAAGTACTAATAAGTTTTAAATTTAATCTATGGTTTTAAGATTGCGTTCGTTAGAAATAGTCTTAAATAATAAACTGAAATCAAGGGTTGAGTTTTTCTTCTTAAGTGGCATAATTACTCACCATTAAGTTGATATCAAGTTTCAAGGGGACTTGAAAACTCCCAAGTTTCAATCGTCTTAGAATAATTGAATCAGTTACACTTTAGCTCGTCCCGGAGCTGGAACTTTTTAATCTGGGTCTCCGACAATGTGTGCTTAAATTGCAGTTTCCCAACCGTTCTGTGCTGGCATCCATCAACTCGTCGTCGGGGATTGAAGGCAGATGAAGTTGAGATGAGTTGAGCTGCTCTCCGTGCAGTTACTTAATAATTCATAAACATCAATCAGGGTCCGGGTTCCACTCGTTCCAGGGTCCTGGGAGCCCCAGAGTGCATTCCATCAGCGATGTCACAGCAGCTGCCTTGTTAGGAGGCCCTCCATGTGCTCATCCACTCCGATCCACTCCCATCCACCCAACCCAACCCATCGACAATCCCCAAATGTGGGCCAACACTTTGCTGCCACTGCTTTGGGCCTGCATTAGTAAACATTTTGTTGTCGTCGCTCGTCATTTGCCTGTCATCAGTCGACAAGTCAACATTGCAGCAGGCGGTGCATTCAGCACTCAGGATCAGCCTAGTCTGCATTTTACTGCATCCCCAACAAGAAAATTTAATGGCTTTTACGGGAATTAAAAGGCTACCAAAGTTGGCTTTATCCCTCGTCGAAACAATAGTGCAAACGGCAAAATGAACACAAAACACAATCAGACCTCCATTTGCATTTCGTTGACATTCGGAATTAATGATGCAGAATGTTTGTATGGTCACGGCATTCTTATCGCTAAATAAATATCACCCATACGCAGCGTTGCCCCAGTTCATATATGTACTTTGGAAAAGCCACACAAACTTTATTAACAAGGGGTATACAATATGCGTTGAGGGCAAAATGGAGAAAATATTTCATTAAATTTAAATGCTCTGCGGTAGTGGATAATTCACTATATATAGCATTGGAAATTACCATTTAAACCAACGCTTAAATTTTATCTGCACATTTTGGCTGAAAATTTATTTAAATGCATTTACTAAATGCCTTTTAAGCAAAGTGAATTGCAAATTTAGTGCAGACAAGCTCAATATTATTTATTGCTTCATTTTTATTGGATAATCATTGAATTATATTTATTTTACAATAGTGTTTTTCATATCTTTTAATGCTTTTTCCAATTTTCATAACCAACTTTATTATCTTCTGAAACCTAACTTTTCAGGCCCACATTGTCGTTCCAAAGAGGAAAATTAATCAAGAGGCAAGTTCATTTTGCCTGGCTTTTCTTCCCCTGCATTCCAATTTATTTGTCTCCCAGAAAAGACTCATAAATCACTGTAAAGCCCATAATGCAATTGAAATCGATGGAGCATATGTGCTTGGCTTTGTAGGATGTGGAATGGGGGGTGCGGGATGTAAGGATGCAGGATGCAGGATGTGCTGTGTAAATTCTGATTGAATTCTCTGTTCCAAAGACAGTGTCACTAGGAAAGCCTGTGGCATATCTCACCCAATAACAATCGTTGCTGACCACACACAGCAATCGCATGTACCTTTTGAGTAGCCCAGCCCCTATATATATATAATTTTGGTATTATGTACCTCGCAGGACTATCTAGAAATCAGTAGGGCAACAAAATGGCCAAACACGTTTCCCCATTCAATCACCCGCCTTTCCCTCGCCTGCTATCTTTGCTCTGTCACCCGTTTTGTTAGCAGTAAAATGCAGCAAAAAATCATTTCAAATTATAAACACGGCGTCGTCGAGGGTCCCTTTTTGAGGCGGGACACTAGCTACGTGTCCTTGCCGTGATTTCTCTACACCCATTAGTTGCCGGGCATATTTGGTTTTAGGTAAGGCAAAAAAAACTGAAGAAATGTGACCGTATAACGTGCATTTGCATTTTTCAGTATCAATTTAACATTACTTAATGGTAAGCATTTCATGTTGATCCATATGTTTCAGAACTTTTTATGGGTTTCTAAGGGGGCAATAAGATTTACACGATTTTTCTTTTATGGTGACACATAGTCGAGGCAGTCAAATGTGAATTTTTTTATGGATTCAGTTTCTTGCTCGCGCTGCAGCTGTTGCTGTGACAGTTTTGCTTTTTACGTTTGCTTTTGCTTTGCTTTTTGCTGCTTAGCAGCGCTTTCGAGCGGACAAACTGAGTGTTGCATAGTTATGGACGCTCTGTTCTGATTCCCCCTCAATTTCCCGCCTTCCTTCCATTTTTTTTCAGACCCCCTTTGCTGTTCTCTTTTTTCGCTCTAAACTTTTCAGTTATAATCTACTTATGAAGTAGGTAACAACGTTTTTATTAAGACTGGACCGTAGAATGCAGACAATTTTCGAAACTCTGCAAAGTTTTTGCTTCAGCACGGCAAGTTTGTTAGTTAAGGGATGGGAGAAAATGACTGGGAATACTGGGGTACTAGTTCATCAGAGTATTTTCATTACAGCTGGCGAAAAGTTTCGTTACTTTTTTGTTTGTTCTCATTTCCATTCACAGTTGGTTTGCTTTGCCAATTATGATTGCCAGACTGCGGGGGGAGAATGTGCGGGCTTAGTGATATATTTGCATACATTTGATAGCCAATTTTCGTGCCATTCTGTTGCCAACAAAATAGCAGGGCTTATGCTGGAATTAAAGTGTTTTACGACACTGCATTTCTGGTTGCTAGTTTGTAAACAGAGCCTTCGATATCCGTCTACATTTATTAGGAACGTGTCCAGGCAATCCCTGGCTATTTATTTCCCTGCTCAAGCTGTTTCTCTTAATTTCCCAGATACATTTCAACTGGAAATAACCCCTGCAATCCCATAAAGCAATCGAGAAGGCTGCATTCTAGCCTGCTCCACACCATTCCCAATTATTCTCCCCAGTGGCAAGTGCTGCACTCTTCTCAGCTGGTGAAATTTATTTGAGTGGCCATCGAGGCATCTTGAGTTCGCCCGAGAAAGCAGCCAAAAAGGGGGAAAGATGGATGTTATGCTATGCTCCGGATCATCGTCCATTAGTGGTCGCCTGCTAATGGATGTTAATAAGGCGTTAAATGGCCTAATTGCCGATTATGGCCCTCAGAACAAACCGATAAGGTACCGCAGGGAGAGGCTAGCACAAATTTTGCAAGCCCAAGTGCTCAGCCCAAGTACCAAGCCTCCTTTCAACACGTTGTACACTTGAAAGAATATTTGTGAATCCTTTTACATATAAAACTAATTAAGTGTAGTACTCTTTTATAAAAGTATACTTCATTTTTCAGCTATTGTATTAAATAGCTTAAGGTCACACTGCAAATAGGTATTTTGTAGTATTAAGTTTGTATAAAGCGTCACTTTGGATCGAAGCTCTAGAACAAACCGGTCTTAGCAGATTATGTTTTTGTGGAAATGTACATAGAAGAAAGTACAAAATGTATCTTGATATTTATAATCGGAGTGCCACTGAAATCTCTTTCACGAAAATTCGAACCGAAGTTTAATAAAGGTTACTTTGAAATCTGTACAACTTGGAAAAATAAGTAAACACATAAGAAAACACGAAAAATTAAATCCTGACTCTTTAAAAACCACCTAGATTTCCAAGGACAGAAATGGCTAACTCAAAACGCAGCACAGAAAACGATTATTCTAAGACTTTGGACCTCCCAAAAAGCGTTTTAAGGCCATGCACCTGAATGAAGGCACTGATAGTACTTGCAGCTGCAGTAACACAATATTGGACAGCGACGAATCTCAGGAGTCAAGGGACTTTGGCTCCAAATACTTACCGGAGTTGGGGCCCCAGGAGAATATCTACTACCTACAGAACAAGATGCTCTTTGATTTGCATGTCGAGCGTGTCAAGCGTAGGAATTCAGAAAATATGAAAAATATGTCTTGAAAAAACCTACAAGAATATACAGAAACAAAACATCTAGAGATCCTAAAATCAAGTAAAGCGTTCATATAATACTGGAAAGACTTTGAATTGAATCTTGCTTAAAATTGCGTTAGTTTGCTGAGATAACCGAAACCTAATTTGGTGTAAATTTTAGTCCTGGTCAATGTGATGTTTTACCGTGTAGACTTCTTCTAGAGGCCACAAAAGTGAGCTATGGCCTGACCGGCAGCTTTATCCTTAAAGCCAAGTTAAGGCAGCTTTTGCCTGGCTTTCTCCCAACCCCCTTTTGTATTGCAGTGGCAGGCAAATTTTATGCTGCTCAAAATGCAATGCAGGGCATGCAATATAAGCGATGCGAGAGCCACTGAATGGGAAAGCCAGAGAAACAAGTGCCGGTCTAAAGAAAATACCCGCCTTACCTAAAGTTCATAATGTGTTAAAACTTTACTGGATTTAAGGATCCAAGGCTTACATTTAAAGCCATGGCTATTTAAGCATTTAAAAAGCCATTTTTTCGTCTGCGTGTCCGACCAATATTAAATATTTATTTTAACAACAATAAAACATTTATATAGTTGTTTTATTTAATGTATTGCTTAATAGTAATATATTTAATTTAAATGAGCTTCTGCAATTGAAATGGTTTCAGGAAAATCTATTTAATTTATTGATTTTAAAGCGTTGTGTTGGGGATATAAACAAATTTATTGTAGACCCGTTGAGCACTGCGAATGCAGGCCTCATAAACAGCGCTCGAGTGCATTTCAGCGCCCCACTTTAAGGATATTTCATGTTTCATTTTTTGGGTGTTTTGCCGTTTTTGTTGTTTTTGAAAATACTTCAGTTTCGTTTTATTTTTGTGGCAAACTGCCAAATTGTGCGGTGGGCGGACACTTCACAGGACATGGCTGCTATTTCTAGCACTGCTCTCCATTCAATGAGTGGGCGGAGGTCATAGTCGGGCAGGAAATGGACGAAATGGCCAGGGACGCCGTGAATTGCGACTGCAAATTGGCCTGTCGGTTTTGCGGTGCAATTACATTTAATTTCGGAAACAGTCGCCCCCCAACTATTTTCAGTTCTGCCTGACGAGCCGAATGCAATTAGCACCGATCCATTCTCCTGTCGAGACCGTGTCTTGTCAGGATCTGTCGAAAACAACCGAGGAAAATGAAAGTGTTAATTGTCTGCACTGGGAGAAATTTCTTAGTAGTACCTTTCTTTATACCTAAAGTAGGTTATAAGCCAAGAAAACGTACATATTTGTGTGAATTAAAAGTTTATATGATGATAAAACGGTCTAAAAACTGTAGTTGGAAAGGAAAATAAGGGTTTAATATTGTTGTATTTTTCCAGAGAACGAAACCAATTTATTATTTAACATTTAGATGGTATTAAATTTTTCAAAATGTCCTATTTTTTATTTTTTACACATTTTTAGTTGATTTCAAAAATTGTCTATATTTCTGAGTGTAAAAATCGACATGAAAGAACATGCGAATGCAGGAGGGGTTTCCGTTTCTAGCTCATATTACCGCACATACATGAACCATCACACATCACCCCCCCTTCCGGCGCCTCTGTTTGCTTAGTTTGCTTTCTCTATTTTTGCATCCTTGGCGAGAACTTTTGCCAACAAAACGTTTGAAAAAGGAGAACAACCATTCAAAGTAGTTGTTGTGGCTGCGAAAATATAGAGATACCAAAGAAAAACTCACACGATTTCTAGGCCATTTTGAATGAGCCAGGAAAAATGTTTTCGAGTGTACCATTTTGGCAACAACAGGCGTTGGAAAGTCAAGAGAGAGCGAAATAATGCAAATGTGGATTAAGCCAAATGGGTCAGCAATCGAATTTGGATTGGCTGTTTACCAAATGCAAAATTAATGACGACGAATAGCTGTTGAAATTACTAAATCTATGCGGCTTGTGATGTGGGCTTCTATTTGGAACCAAATATGTGCAGGTGAAATTGATATAATTTTGAATGATTTTGGTTGAAATTCAATAAATTTGAGAATGATTGAAGTGCAATTATAGGCATTAAATGACAAATATTGGGAAATGTCTATATTATGGGGCTTCCATTTAGATCTAAACATGTGCAGGTGAAATTGATATAATTTTCAATTATTCGATTTAAAATTCAATACATTTCTGAATGAATGAAGTGCAATTATATTCACATTACAAATATTTGGGGGAACAGTTTTTGGGCATTTCATGATATATTGGTATTACAAATTCAAAGCCATAACTATTTACATTTGCGTTGAAAATAAATATAACAGTACTTTACATTGATAAATTGAAGCAATAACCATTTCTATAGAAACATTATATAAATTGCACATTATGCAATCTCCCTTGACAGTTTATTTTCCGCACTGCAAATATTTGCTTTGCCCATTAGAAAAGATAGCAAACTTCTCATTAAATCACCTTTTAGGTGGTCACGCCGCTGATTCACACGAACCACTCCACTCAACCGACTAACAAGTGTCCACAAAGACTTGAAACTGTTCCGCGTTTGTCTTTGCTGGCAGTTGAGAACCTCAAACCCAGCCTGACCCCTAACCCCTAACCATGAACGACGAACCGCCAACCCACGAACCGAGTGAGAAGTGGCCTAAACTGCGCTCTGGCATCCATCCGCCACCCACTGGTAACCCGGTGAAAACTCAATTCAATTTCCGCCAGCCAGACAGCTGCACATTTCCACTTGAGCACTTGCATTTATCGCCTGTCGATGTTGCTGGCTTCTGGATGCCATTCTGCCATCCTTCCATCCTACCATTCTACCATACTGCCATCCTGCAGGTTCTGAATAACGCCTTTTATCCGCCTATTTGTGCGATATACCCACCTATGCCAAGCTAGCTGCTTTTATGACTCCTGCAGAGACTCATTTAAATAAGCTGCCAGTTGTGTCTATTTAACCGAATGCAGGCAAACTATCAGCCAAGTCATTAAATCCAGGATGCAGAAAACTTTCCCTCTTACTCCGGTCGAAGCCAGAAACTTTCCGTAAATATGCTGCAGAGATGTCTAAATAGATTATAAATATGGGATATTTCCATTTAATATTATCCTTTTCATCCGAGAGCTTTCCGTAAAATATATTATATGTAACATTATCAAATTAAGATACTGTAATAAAATACGAATTTAGATAGTAGAGAAATAGGAAGCTCCTTGTCGCTCTTGTAATGTTAAAATGATATACTGCTACAAGTTATAAAAACAATATATCTAGTTTTTTGGCCAGTTTTATAGTCATTTTAACTCCATACCATGGTGCAGAGCCGCAGGAGTTCGGTAAACACAAAGGCATGGGCCAAGACCCACAAGAAACGCAAGAACAACAATGGAAACAGCCCTTAACTCAACCTCAATGGGCTCCTCTGCCCGTTTCGGTGGCGTATGAGTAACGTGCGGCTGGTGGCGTCGGTTGTGGGTGGAGGATGTGTGGATGGATTTTATATAACATACATAACTCCGGGGGCTACTTGTTGGATCTTCAAATATTTATGAAAAGTGATGCAAGTTTTAACTCTGCAGCACGGCAGTGACTTACTTTCCACAACCTTACACTGAAGGAAAATGTTTATCTTAAATGGGGAATGAAATTGCACATAATACAATACATGTTTGGTATTATATTACCAGTTATGGTTCTATTCTACTAAATCACAATATATAATGATGAAATATTTAAAGTTTTATCAGTAACCTTAAACTGTATCCTTTTCTCTCACTGCAGATGCACTCAAATCTGTGGATATTTATTTGGCGCCGGAAACTCTCCTTCCTACTCGTCGTGTCTGGCCTAGTACTTCTCGGCCTCTGGACGTGGGCCATACTAATCGATACAACAGCCGCCACACAGCCTCCAGCCGCCTCTTCCAGTGCTGAGCGCCTGCAGCAACAACAGCAGCAATCCGCCGGCTACCAGCAGGTGCACATCATCCAGAAACTGATTGCCCAGGCCAACCGGGTGCTGAGAGCCGACCGTCTGAGGGACAACGCCGTCGAAAAATCACCCTCTCCAGTACAGCGTTTGGGCAACGTACGATTCCTACGGCCCACGCAGGCCAAGAAGGCCCCTCTGCCCATGTCCGAGAGCTATCTATTCGAGCAGGAGCGCCTCAAGATCCTCGAGCAACAGCAGCGACAAAAGAACGCCGGCATGGAGGAACTGAATGCCAATGCCGAGGATGAGCGAATGCTCAGTTCGGCAGAGCGACAGACGCAGTACGAGCACGAGCTCCAGCGGATGGGGGTGCCGGTGGTGGCCGGGATCGGTCCAGATGGTCCTAGGGCTCCTGCCGAGCGCCTTGTGCATCTGGATCTCAAGGGCGCACCGCCCAAGCTGAGTTTCCTTAAGCAACTGCTGCCCATGCTGCGGGCGCTGGGAGCCACGGGTCTGCTCATCGAGTACGAGGACATGTTCCCCTACAGCGGAGTTCTTCAGCCACTGGCCGCGCATAATGCCTACAAGGAAGATGAACTGAAGGTGAGTATAGGAATCATTAGAGCGGGAGTCTAGCAATTTAATAATATTGTTAATTAAATCCTTTTCCGTTCCTTTGCAGGACTTCCTTGAGAGCGCTGCATTACATGGTCTGAGCGTGATGCCCCTTGTCCAAACCTTTGGGCACATGGAATACGTCCTCAAATTATCCGGCTTCGAGCAACTGCGCGAGCTGGCGCTTAGTCCACAGTCGATCTGCCCCAGCCAACCGCAGAGCATGGCGCTCCTGGAGCAGATGCTCACCCAAGTGATTGAGCTGCACTCGCAGTGCTTGGGCCAGGCTACGCCGGCGTCTGGCGTTCCCTCGGCACCCATCCGGTTCACCCACATCCACATTGGCTGCGACGAGGTGCAGCGCATGGGAGAGTGCACTACCTGTCGCCAGAGAATGCGCAGTGAGCTCTTCCTCTCGCACGTGGTCAGCCTGGCACATTTCATCCGCCGCCAGTGGCCACATTTGGGTGTCATCATCTGGGACGACCAGCTGCGATCGATGTCCCTGAGCGAGCTGCAGCACTCGCAGGTGGGCAGCTACGTAGAGCCCATGGTGTGGGTGTATGCCAGCGATATATACCGATTCATCCAACCCCAGTTGTGGGACACCTACGCTAAGGTATTCCCTAGCGCCTGGACTGCTTCCGCTTTCAAGGGAGCCTTTGGTGAGAGCTTGTTGGTGCCGCCGCTGCAGCATCATCTGGAGAATAACATTCGCTGGCTGGCGGTGATTGCCAAGGAGGGCGGACGATTCTCCAAGGGAATAAGAGGTCTTGCCCTGACCGGATGGCAGCGGTACGATCACTTCGCCGTTCTGTGTGAACTCTTGCCAGTGGGCATTCCCAGCCTGATGACGTCGCTGTCCACCGTTTCCAAGGGCTACTTCAGCACCAACCCGCGGGACAATGAATTGCTGCGCGTGCTGCAGTGCGTTTTTCAGCCGGACAGCCGACGATCAGGTCGTCCCTGGCTGGAACTGAATCCGAATGCCCATCACAGCCAGCTATTTGCAGTCTGCAACTATCCGGGTCACATGGTCTTCAAGTACGCCCTGCGGCTGTTCGACAAGCTGGCCGAGATGGGACTCTATCTGCAGCAGACCCGTGAACAGAGCGCCTGGCTCTCCGACTACAATGTGCGGCACAACTTCAGTTCGCCGCTGAGAGTGCGGGAACTGACCGCCAGGACGCCGATGCTGATCGAGGAGTTGCGTGCCATGGCGCGGGAGGCACAGCAGCTGTTGTGGGAGGTGTACGATGAGTACACGGTGACGGAGTTTGTGGAGCAGCACATTTATCCCACCATCGAAGCATTGCAGCGGCAGCTGGCCAGAGCGGAGATGCTGCTCCAAAGGCGCACCTGGCCACAGAGACCACTTCCGCTGCAATTAAAGGTGCAGGAGGACATGGGACTGGTGACACATCAGCAGCAACCATGAAATGGGCAGGTGAGGGTACATCTAAATACATAAATAGATTATTAAATGTATAATATCCTTTCTCTTTTTCAACTCTTTAACTTTGGTTTCATTTTTTAGCCAAACTAGGCCAAATTGGCCTACATATGATTTTATTTGCTTTAATGGACTGATGAAAAATCGGCTGGCACTTCTGGCTCTGGATCTTAATCTACTCGCATAGTGATGGCGTTCGAAACGCCCAAGCCCGGCACGGCTAATAGGCCAGGATATTTCGAATGTTAACAGCAGCAGCGGCACTTCCCAAGATACACACATAATGGTAGCATTAGCCACTTGTAATACTAAATAACATCAAATGTTCATTTTTTCTAAACTACTTTGTAAGCCGAAACTCAATTATACATATATATACAATTTAATCGTACTGTAATAATAATAAATCAAAAAATTTTAATTATCGTCTTCCAATCGAACCCATTTTTTATTTCGAAAGTGAACAATTCTTGTAATTTGTACTGAACTGAAATGGGAACTTTCCTAAACTGTTTATAAAGACGTCTTAAATTTCTTTAATTTTCTTTTATTTTCATTAAATTTGTTCCCAATATATAGTAAAGTATGATTTTAATAAGTTGTTAATATATTCGGGATAATCAGTCTGGAATATTATCAAAGAGCGGGCCCGTCCTATATTTTTCACTTATGTATGGAAAAAAAAGCACGGCCACCTGCGAAGGCGAATTTCTCCAAATATAAGTCGCAGGTCGCTTGATGACCGTTAAGACTTCCGATTGTCGAGCAAAGATATCCACAGGGGCATCCAAGTGTGTACATTTCCGGACGACAAATAGCCTGGTGGGGGGCCAGGCCGCAACTCACACTGCGGCGGCAGGTGGGGCACTGACCCTTCTTCACCGGCTTCAAATTATACACTCCTCTCTTAATATTCCGAGCAATATGCTTCCACAACCCAATCAGAGTATCTTTTCTTGATTCCTCGAAAACCAAAGGATTCTCATACCTAGTCAGTTTTTTTGGTGGTCCCTTCTCCTGGCGTTGCCCATACCGTTTCTGGGCCACCTCTCCCATGCGGATGCCAACTTCATAACGCATCGGTTCAGACTTGATTGCCAAACGCTTCTGTTTTTCATATATATCATTTAAATCCCATCGCGCGTGTGGTTGGGATTTCTTTTGCTGACTTGGTCCTGGTGGCGAAACTATATCGCTCTTTTTGGCACGTGAATGAGAAACTTCCTCCTGAATCATTGGAGAAACTTGGACGTTCGATCTGGCCTGCTGTTGGCCTACAACTCTCGGTTTGGCCTGTTGTTGGGATGACTCTCCCTGATGTGGTGGAACGTGAGCCACTTGCTGGGGATTCAAAGGGCCCACTCGCATTGCTGGTGGAGAATGGGATAGCTCCTGCTGGGGTTGGGCAATTGGCGGATCAACTTGTTGGACAGTCGGCGGTGCAATGGAGACACGAGCATATGGGTGATCACCTTGACGGTTTCGCTCAGAAGGCACCTGCTGTTGTGGCGAAGAAGACTGCCGGGGTACCACGTTCTGCCGGAGTGTTGCAAATAATATCTTATTGTGTTGGAATACATTCTCCGCGAAGACAATAAACTAAGCACTCACCTGGGGTTGTCCTTCTTCCTGCCGAGCTGCCCTTTCCTGCAGCAGCTTGTGATAGCAATGTAAAACACAATTATGTGAAGTCATCCTCGCACTCCAAAAACTGGACAAGATTTGAACAAAAGCGTGCGAGTGGCGCTGCTCGCGTCAAAAAGAAAATCTTCATAAATTCTGCCCGTATGGCCACACTAAACCTTTCTATCGATAACACAGCCAATAAATTCTTAAATTCAAAATATTACATGCCACATGTTAGCTTAGGTTTTTTTAACGTAATTTTGTACTCAAGTCCTTGACCTTTAAACACTGCTGACAAATAGTAGCCAACTGGCGAAGTGTTGTCTTCAAAATTTATTTCTTTATAAAATGAATTTAAACAACGATACGCAGTGTTTTAATTTCTGACAAGTTTTATGTCACAACAAGAAGTTTAAAAAACGACTCTGTCATTCAAAGGAAATGGCATTGCCGCATTTGAATGCAACAAAGTGTAGCAACACTAAATTAAAATGGGGGTCATCATTAAAATTAATTTTATGTCTATGTGCTATTTATATTCAATAATGAACTTTATAAAAACTATAATTTTATAATTGTTTAATATGTATTGCATTTTATTAAAATCACATCTTGTACGTAATGGCCATAGTCGTTACGTTGTAAACGTAAGAAAGTGTTGAGGAACGTTTCCCAGGGCTGCCACTACGTAACGGATAACGAAACAAAACAGCCAAAAAACTTAAGGACATTAAAATTATTATTATCAGTAGGAATTAATAAAAGTTATGTATAAAAAGCTTAAAACCAAATAAAAAATAAAATATAAACTAAATACAAAAAATGAATGCTATATTAGGTGTGGCAAGTTTGAAATGATAATCGTGAGGACAAATATCACGAAAAGCACGAAAAGGATACGGCAAATAAGGAAGAAGAAGCATGTAGCAGGACGAAGAGGAACACATGTTCGCGCAAAATCGATTACTAAACTTAAAAGGAAAACTGAAAAAACGGAAAACGAAAAATTACAACACTATCGGCAATTAGTTAAATCACACTGTTTCCGAAAGATTAAGAACAAAGGGTTTCCTGTAAGAGCCAGGACTCCTTGGAAAATGGGTATTACGGAAACGGCAGCAACAACCACAACAACAACCGGAATGGGAGCGGCAAACGCCGTGGAGGGCAAACAAATCCTTTCGCTCGAGGCGTTCCAGGATATTTTCAAACACGTGGAACCGGAAGTGCAGATTGATGCCTTTGAGGTAAGCACATCAATGGGGGCGCTTAACCTGCGGTTTACTTTCGGTTGTGACATAATTCTCCCCATTCTCCTATTCCAGCTGACCCAGGGCTCCGACCGGGGTGACAACTATACGGCCGCCTTGTATCGCATAAACTCACCGGGAAACGGCGGGATCTTAAGTGGGAACAGAACGTCATCTGCAAGGTGATGCCGGAAAGCCTGGTCGCCCGGGAGGCCTACAAGAGCGACAAGCTCTTCCGGTGAGTGTTCCATGTTCTATTATATGATCCTTAATAATCCCGTGACATATCTTATATAGAAACGAGGTAGAGTTCTATACCACCATTATGCCGGAACTGCTTAAGTTCCAGGCCAGCAAAACGGAACAGGATACTCCCGTGTTCAATGCCATCCCCAAGTGCTATTCGGCCAGGCATGATCTGCTTATAATGGGTAACTATCACTCTTGGTTTGTCCCTAGAAAGGATTCAGTTTTATTTAAAAGTGTAATACATTTTTAAATCATTATTACATAACATATTTTTAATTTTAAACATTATACTTAGTTTTTATTAAGTACTAGTTAGTCAAAGCTCTCAAGCCCGATTATTTGATTACTTAATAAATTACATTTTTACATTTTCTCAGCATGACAATCTTTTTTTAAGCAGGTGTAGTTATATTACGCTAAATTTTAATAATTTTACTGAATTTTACTTAAAATGTACTAAAGAATCTCTCATAATTCTCGCCAGAGGATCTTCGCGAACGGGGCTTCCAGATGTCCGACCGCCACAAAGGCCTCAGCTTGGAGGAAACGCAGTCCGTCCTGCTGCAGGTGGCCCAGCTGCATGCCCTTAGTCTGGCTTACAAGTTCGAAAATCCGTTGGACTTCAGCAAGCTGTGCAGCGTGATCAGCGAGGGTATCTTCTGCACGGACAACACGAGTTGGTATCGCAACTACTACGAGCGCCTCACCAAGAACGCCATTCAGATGGTGTCCGAGGTGCTGCCGGCGGACTCCAAATATGTCCTGGCCATCAGTAAATTTGCCGAGAGCTCCTCCTTCTTTGGCCGGATGGTTCAGTTGGCCAGCGCCGAGTCACCTTTATCGGCCATTTGCCATGGAGACTGTTGGGTCAACAACTTTCTGTACCACTACGACCCAGAGGATCCGCAGCGGGTGCTGGAGGTGGCCCTGCTCGACTTCCAGCTGATACGCTACAGCTCCATTGCCCTGGACATTGCCAATCTGCTGTACTGCTGCACCACCAAGGAAATGCGGGATGCCCAGTTGCAGAATCTGCTCAAGACCTAACGCAGGAGCTGTTTAGATGGCTGCAAATCCTGTGCACAAATTTGCCCGACCACTGCGACACATTGGAGAAGCTGCAGGATCTGTAAGGATATGATTACGAAGAAGATAAGTTAATTGATATTTCCCTCTTTAGTTTGCCGAGGAGCTGAAGACTTACGGACGCTTTGCTCTTGGCCTGGCATGGATATCCTTCCCATCAGCACGTGCTCCTCGGAAGATGCCCCAGATATGTACTTAAAGCGAAGCGACGAACTCGAGGAGGATGTGGGTGCGCCCACGCTCAACTTTCCACCCAACGATCTGTGCCGCAAGAAGATGTCCGAGATAGTCATCGATATGGTGGATCGGGACATGCTCTAGGCCCACTGCAGCGGAAATGGAATGCTTGCTGTCTGCCCAAAACACCAATTACAAATAATATACCAGCTCAGATAGCGTGCTCCAGTTGATTCTCACTTAACCCTTAGTTATATGCAAGTTAGTGAATATTACCAGTAGCTTAGCAAGACTTTGTACGTTTAGGGTACTAACCACCGCTATAATTTATGTTATGATTCCATGGCAGCCAATTCCATGGCCCTGCGACCCAGATAGAACTTTGTGTAGTCGGAGTTAACACTTCCCAGTTAATTTATTTTGTCCCTAGGTTTAAATTGTGTGCAAACCAATCGATGCCAAAATAGTGTATTAGAGTTTCTTGATTCTTTCTTTCTTCCTGACCCCCATTCTCAAATAAGAATCGGACTATGCAAAACAGGCATTGGTAAAATTTCCATTGCTTTATTATTATGGAAATGGAACTGGGCACAGGGCCTTGAAATACGACAGGAATTGTGACAGTGCAGTACTTGATCTAGCCGTAGCTAAAATGAACAATACATTTGTTGAACTTAGCTCAAAGAATCCAGACAATAGAAAAAGCATGTCTAGGCGTATTGTGTTTTTCTAAAGTATTCTTTACACAAAGTAATAAACTATAAATGAAGAGTATGATGCCTTGCCTTAAATTAGTAATCCGCCTTGGCAGTCCACGTAGCTTTGTTGCCCATGACGCCCTTGTCGCAGTTCTCTCGCAGGAACTTCAGGCCAGCTTCGATGGATCGCTCGAGATCGGCCTGGGATTTGGGCCGTTTCGCAGCAGGCGGAGCAGTCGAGACATCCAATCCAGTGGGCGGAGGTATTGCAGCACCCAGACCACGAACTGATGTGCTGGGTTCTCCATCATAATTGTCTTCCTTGTAGGTGCTATAGTTCCGCCGCTGAAACTTCTTCTCCTGTTTGGTGCTATGGAAGTTGTTGAACTCCGGCTCCTGGCCGCTGTGCCACGATGGAGACGGAGGAGGTGGCATGCTGTTGAAGTTGCTGCGCTTGAGGGGAAACTGCTCCTGCATGGGTGCAAACTCTGTCTGCCGCTGGGCCCGCTGCTTCTCGTTCCACTCCTCCTGGGACATCGGCAGCCGTTCGGCCCTATAATTCCACTCCTCCTCGGGTGAATCGTTGCCATCTGAGTCACCTCCCTTGCGCACACCAGGCTTATCTTTGTCCCAATCACGTACATGATCCTTTCGTAGTTCCTCCAGTTCTGCCTCCTCCTTGGCTTTGGCCTTCTCAATGGCCGCCTTCTTCTCCAGCTCCTCACGCTCTCGTTCTGCGGCTTCGGCCGCTGATTCATCCTTCTTCTTCTGCTCCTCCCGCTCGTACTCCTCCTTGCTGATGGGTGGTAAGCCGTTGCGCGCTCGGATCCTGTTTTTGGCGGCAAGCACGCGATCGGCCACCAGGCTGTCCCGCTTGGCGCGCATCTCATCTCGCCGCGTTTGCTCCGCAGTCGTTTCCTTGCGGGCCATTTCAAGGTCAAGCTGCTGCTTTCTGCGCTCCTCCTCGTCTGTGGAAAAGGCATAGTAGCCAGCGCCGTGGGTACGAGCCTCATCGAAGAAGACATCCTGGTAATGGACATCGGGTTTCTCAACATTTTCAATCTCCTTGCGCTCCCAGTTCAAGCGCTGCTCATCGTGCTTGGTCATTGTGGATAGGGCATCGCTGAAAACGCTTTCCGAAGGCCGTGGGCCAAAGCAGGACTCAGCATCATCGTCATTGTCGCTATTGTGGGCTCTGTCCTGGTCGCGACTTCCTTTCGTATCTATCATCCAGTTGGCCTTGGTCTGATCTAAGCGCTCCGGCATACTCTCGGCTAGTTGGCGGTCGCGCTTCTGGGCCTCCTTTAGGTCCTTCCTAAGACACTTTCTGGTGCGGCCAAGGCAATCAATGTACTCCACCTCGTCATCGTCCCGACTTGTTCGTCATCGCTAGAACTGCTGCTGCTCAGCCGCTGGCGTGGATCACCCTCAGCGCAGACGGCTCCTGGTCCGCCTCCTGCTTCTTGCGGTTGAACATCACGAGGCAGTTGTCATCGGAGTTGAGGGTGCCGCCAGAGCGGCTCATCCGGTCATAGAACTTGCTCTTGGCCTCCAGGACGCGCCGCGACTTGTCCAGCTGGGCATGGTCCTCCGCCTCGTACACCTTGGCGCCATCGTTGCTGCTTCCGACCTTCTTGTAACCCCGATCTTGGGATTCCACCTTTTCGGTGCTGCTTTTGCTGGGCCGGAAATCGGTGGTGGATGCCTGCGTGGCCTTGGCCACCCTGACCTCATGCTGCTTCCTTAGAAGTTCCGCCTTCAGGCTGAGCAGCGACGATAGGTTTACACTGATGGCTTTGTTTGGATCGTTCATAGCAAATTTAAACTAAAATAAAAGACAGCTGCGGAATAAGAAGAAGAAACAGCAGCTGATACACTGAAAAAAAACGACAGTTTCCGTTTCATAAATATAAAATGTAATTATTAGTATATATTATATTAAAAATTGTATTTATACATAATAGATGTATGATTAAACTTTATTTTCTGATTAATACAAATTGATTCAATTTATAAAGTATTACTAGTAGCTGAAATTGTCAAATTAAATTGTTAAAAATTCCTGTTATAGATGAGGTTCTATATAAAAAAGTTAATTAAATAAAAATGTAATAATAAAAGTTAATAAACAATTGAAACTTATATTTCGTTCTCTGTGTAACTCAATACTAACGAACGGTCACACTAAGGCAGGGCCAAGAAGAAGAAACGTGTTTATTTACCTTTTGGAATGTCGAACTCTGGAGAGGATTTCCAGGTGGTAACGCGCAAAAAATGGATGGCCCGCAAGTGCCTGAGGCGGCGGGATCGCCACAAATCCGAGAGCGATTACTTAATGGACTGCCCGGATGTGAATGTGGATAAATTTCAGCCGTGAGTATATGAGGAGTATATGGGGAACTGCTCCTTAACATAAATGTACTTTCAGACGCCTGGAGACCTTGTGCGCGGAGATGCGCCAGAGCGACTACTTCCTGGTGGCCATAGAAGCACTGCAGCAGCAGCTGGTTGGGCTTAAAAAGCCGCTGGAACGGATTGTCTGCCTGGGTCTGGGACCGTTCTCCCGCACCTACCATGCCCTTCATCAGGCTGCCTTTGTGATAGAACGCAGCGGCACCACAAGATCAAGGAGGCCCTCTACTTCGACCCCGTATTTAGGGACACCGAGAAAGAACTGATCCGCATGTTCGATGGATGTTTAATGAGCGAAGACTGCGCGGGCAAACACGAGGCGACGGTGCCCACGCTCTATTATCTGCCACACTGCCCCTACGCTCTGATGCACAACATCTTGTGGTCCAACTGGAAGCGGGAGAACCTGCCCAATGTTTTCCTCATCTCGAACAGCTTCGAAATGCTTACAATGACGCCGCGAAGTCAGGATGACCACATAACAAGGATTGTCGAACATTGTAAAGAGACCACGCTGGAGGACGACTACGAGCACCACAACGTATTCAATGACTTATCGTTGCACACTTTTCCACTGGAAACCCTGCCAGCCAACGATGACGAAGTATTTTGGACACGATGCGCTCCCTTGAAGGTGAACGAGGATGAGCTGATTACGGAAGCGGAGACGACCTTTGCCGCCCTTAAGTTGGACTCGGAATAATTTAAGTTCTTGCTATTTAGTTTTTATAAGGGCACTGCAATGGAAGTTTTCATCAAAGTTTCAAAACAAATCTAATTAAATTTTAAATGGGAATTTCATTGTGGTTGCAAATTTTAATAACAAACTATTTACAGTTCTAGTGGTACAGGCCTATAAATTCTGCATGACCAGCTTATCGGCAGGCTTAACTCCATATTTGTAGACCTTGTTGAGGCTTTCGGGAAAGTCGGGCAGTAGATTGTTGAAGTTCTCCACGTGATGTGTGTGTTGCTCCGTCCAGATGCCGTCGCCAGTAAAATGAAACTCAGATTCGATCAGGTAGAGGATGAGAGTCAGGATCTCGTTGTTGCTCAGTGAGTTGAAATCCGCCACTGGCAACTGAAGTTCTTCTTGGGCATCTGGTTGTTGCAAAATAAGCCACTTTTCCTCAATCCGTTTGCTGTAAAATATGGTAAAGTGTTAAGAGAAATTCGATGTAATAATTTAGTTGTACTCACATGGGATACAGAAGCAAGTGTATGTTGGCAAAAATCTCGTGTAGCTTAAACTTTTTGCTGCGGAGGTACTCCAGACACTGCTTCACATGCAGCAGAGGAATATGACACCAGTTGGGATGGCGGGAGAGCAGATTGCGCAGAGTTAGTTTATCCTTGGAAAAAACGTTACCCAGGTAAACCACAATATCGCGACCTTTGGTACGATCCGAACCATCTCTGGCAAATCTGGAATAAACAATAGGGTTAGTTGAAGGAACCTTCAATATATTAACATATTAACACTGTAGTTACTAACTTGGCAAAAGCCTCTGAGCCGCAGGAGAGGATGTGCAAGGAAGCGCAACGAACCCTCAGCTGATTAAGGTAATCCAGACGCAGTCGCGCCTTGTTTTGATAGTGCACCAGTCTCAGTACTCGCGGATTGGTGCCCAGCACCTGAAACTCCTCGATCTCCTGCAGATCCCTGAGTCGCTCCAGCACCGTTTCCGGTCCGAGGGTTAGCACCTCCAGGCAGCGCAGAACGGCATCCTCACTAATGCCAAACGCATTGACGTATTGCAGGGTTTGCTTTAAACTATCGCAGGTGGACATCAGGATCTTGGGACGACGGAAGCCAATTTCGCGAATGTCCTGCGAGTCAATGGTAGGGATCTCCCGCAGGATGCGTCGCACATTATCCGCCTCTGAATAGAGCAGAAAGCTGTTCTTCCTTAGCCGTTCGGCGGGAAACTGGAGCTCGTTGGTCAGGAGCTCCACAGTATCCTGCATGGCGCGAAAGCTCTTGTGACGGATACGAGAGTAGACGCGCCACAGCTTCTGCAGATCACTGTCGTCCATTTGAAGGCGTTCGCGCAGGTATGCGTTCAGCAGAGTTTGCCTCAGGCTCTTCAGCGTGATGCTTTCGCTTCCAGCTCCCGCAAATCAACCGGCAGGGTGATTCCGTCAATAATCCCGCCAAACGCTCCGCCACCTTCACGTCGTAGGGGATGAAGCTATGGGCCTTGAGGACTTCTATCGGCTTGTTGACCACCGTGACATATTTGCCAGCGTTTGGACAGTCACGTTCTGAAAGCCACACTCCTGCAGCACACTGTGACGATTGGCCAGCGTGGTGGCTCCATAGTAGATGATCATGGGCTTGGCTATGATGTCTTCAACGCTGTACTCCAGGGATTTCAAGTGTCGTAGGAGTTGAGCAGGTCCTTGCGCTTCAACGTTTTAAGTTCGGGGTGTTCTCCAGGGCAGCCACCCAAGCCCGGTAGCTGCTACCTAGAAACCAATGTATCAATGTTTAATCAACTTTAAGAAGCTGACCTACCCAGATTTTTGGCCAAATAATGTGCATTTAGGGGCTCCTCCGCCGGCATCTCAACTACCGGGCGCTTGGGCAGCTTTATCTTCTCCTGCTTACTGGATGTTCCTTTTGAACTGGCCATTCCCCGCGCCAACTGCCCAGGCGCCGGGCCAGGAATTGGGCTTGATTCTGGCCGTTGCGCAGCATAATTATAGCATTTCTCGAGGTTTTATTTACAACCGACGAGGAAATGTACCAACGACATGTAACTGACATTCGTGTGAATGGCAACTCTCTTCTGGGTGAATGGTTGGCGGCTAGTGATGACATTTCACGAATAATAATATCGATTGAAATCTATAGTTTAATCGATACCGCCACCTACGTTTTCACATCTCTAGCGTACTTACACGTGCGTGCTTTGATTTTAGTTTTTGTTTCGCCTAGTTTTTAATTAAGAAAGCATTTAAATATGTCGCTCTTACGCATCAGGTAAGCAGTACACAACAAACAACCAAAATACAATCGAATACAACTATATGTACTTCCAGGAAACCCAAAACCCGCAAGGGAAAGAAGGTGCTGCTGGCCAGGGAGCCGCAACTGATTGAATCCGCCCGCATAATGCTCTTTTTGGACGGACGCAAGTGTGGTGGCAACGTGAAGCTGTGCATGAAGGATCTGCAGACGCTGAAGAAGCCTCTGGTGAAGGTGCTCAACCGCAAGAACGACATAACACCCTTTGACGATCCCTCCTCACTGGAGTTGTAAGTTTATCTAAAATCTACCTTAATGTCATGATTCTTCATTGTAACTTACTCTGATCCCTAGCTTGACCATGAAGAACAACGCAGCCCTATTCTCGTTGGATCCACATCAAAGAAACGACCCGACAACATCATCCTGGCAGGATCTTCGAGAACGAGGTGCTGGATATGTTTGAACTGGGCATCAAGCGGTATCAGGCCATTTCCGAGTTCAAGAACGAAAAGATCGGAGCCTGCGTGAAGCCCTGCCTGGTGTTCAATGGACCCAAATGGGCGCAGACCGAGGAACTGAGCGCCTTCGCAACCTGTTCATCGACACTTTCCAGCGCGAGAAAGTTGAGTCTATTCGCCTGCAGGGCATTGAACACGTCCTCAGCTTCACAGTGGCCGATGACATGAACATCCTGATGCGATCCTACCGGATTCTATTGAAAAAGTCCGGCCAGAGGACGCCGCGCATCGAGCTGGAGGAGATTGGTCCTTCGGTCGACTTTGCCATTCGTCGCACCAAGATCGCCAGCGAGGATCTCTACAAGCAGGCCGCAAACAGCCCAAGCAGCTGAAGGTGGGCAAGAAGAAGAACATCAGCACGGACGCCCTGGGCAACACCAAGGGACGCGTCCATCTGGGCAAGCAGCAGACGGGCTCCATCCAGACGCGTCGCGTCAAGGCGCTGCGCAAGACGCCCGAGGAAAGAAGGAACTCGGCAGCGCAAGAAGGTTGCCCTCAAGACAGCCGCCGCAGAAGCTCTGGCGAACTCGAAAGGAAATCCCTTTTCTAGTTAGATTTAGTTGTAATAAATTGGTCCTGATTAAATTAGCTTTAACAAGTGTATGAGTACTGGAATCGTATATCAGTGTATGCCTTCGACTATGTTGCGGATGCGTCGCGTCTTGGACTCGGCCAGGGCGTCCTCCAGCGTTTTGATCATGTGCACCAGGCTGCTGACATCGGTCTGACCAGCATATCCTTGCGATGCAACCGCTCGTCCTCCTGCATGGCCTTTAGCTCCTGTTCACTTCGTCCGGACATGTCCACCGCCAGCAGTTCCCGGTTTTCGTTCTTTGGTCGGTGTGCAGGTATAACTTCATGGTCACCACTACCTGGCACTTCTTTAGCAGACTCCTCGAAGCCGTGCGCACCTCCAGTCGCCAGTCCAGGTTGACCAGGCGATAGGCACGTATGTTGGCCGACTTGATTGAGCCCTCCACAAAGTTTCTCTTGCTGGTGACAAACTGTTCGAGACTTCCAGACATCGTCGCCAAGATCGGGAAGGTTTGGCGCAGGATTGCCTGCATGTTAAACGTGCTACTTCCTATTGGTGGTAACGATGAGCAGGATACCAGCGCCTCCACCGCCTGCTGAACAGCCTCCGGACTTTCTGAATCCGAGTACTTCTTGGCCAGCGCTTCATAGCGGTCGGGATTGGGTCCGTTTATCAGGTAATCGAAGGCGGATTTGCACAGCTCCACACATCGCTGGAGTGTCTTTGGAGCAGGCTCAAGTGGTCGCGTTGTTGTTGGCTTAGCCGGAAGATGACATCTTTTGATTCGTGATCTAACTAAAAGAAAATAAACAAATAATTATTAGGCAGTTAATTCAGAAATTAGCTTACCTTTAATATTTTTAATTATTGGCTAATCGAAACTCCTGTTTCATATCGGAACCTCCACTGTAAATGCCTTATGTTTTTAATAGGGGGTGATGTTTTACCCCTTCGACTTACCTTACTTAGAATTCTTGAATATTACCAGAGCCTTAAAATGTTTCCTAATTTGTAGACTTTTGATTGTATTCCTCAGAAACACTAGGTTTGCCGGTTGAATAAACATTTATAGGGAAAAACAAAAATAAATGTCTGCGGCTCAATTTAATAGGGTGTCTTCGACCAAGTTGGCAGTTCCCTCCGATTATTATCATGTTATCGATAAATGCAAGTTCAAATTTTCAAATAGTTCGGTTATATACGAAGTTAAAAAAGCTTAGAAAGAATTGAAAATTTCCCAAAAAATAAATAATAGTAATAATATGATAAACAATTCAAGATCCTTTAATAAACAAACATTTTAAGTAGATAAACTCAGCAATTAAAAGCTTTTTGTTCATATAAAAGCTTTTTAGTAAAAGCAACCCTGTTCGCCCCCGCCACCCCGAAACACAAAAACAACACAGTATATTCGCAAATCTGTTTCATTGGCCCGTGGGATTTTGCTGGCAGAACTGCTCTCGTTTAATTGTTTTACCAAATACATTTTGTACCAAATAACATTGCAAATATGCTGAAGCAAGTGACGAAGCAATTGGCCCTGCAGGGAGTGCGCACCTTTTCGGTTGGCCAGCAGGTGAGCATCGGTATCTCCGAAAATCCCGGCTAGAATCGTAACTGCAACTGTTTACGTAACAGACCGATGATATGGTGCATCTCGCCCCAATAATTATATGAACCTGACATAACACCATGGCTCCATGTAATATATGCGTTCTGTGTTTTCTATTACCGAAATAGAACAACTACAAGGTGACCGTCTGCGGCGCCGCTGGAGGAATTGGCCAGCCGCTGTCGCTGCTCCTCAAGCAAAATCCCCTGGTCACCGATCTGTCCCTCTACGACATCGTCCATACGCCCGGTGTGGCCGCCGATCTGTCGCACATCGACACCAAGAGCAAGACCACCGGATTCATCGGTGCCGACCAGCTGGGCGATTCCCTGAAGGGTGAGTAGAGGGCAGGGGCCACGAGTGAGGTTATGTGATAAGGGGATACGAGTGGAAAATTTGCTGGGATCCGCAGGGGGGGTTGACGGGGTGGATAAACCACTTCCGTAGCTCATGGTATGATATGCACTAAACTTGAAATGTATACATGGCTTGTTTGGTTCTATTCCATTCAAAATACTTGTCTTTCATAATTCTTTTCTTATAACCATAGCCAAGATATTATAGTGCATTGTAAAAGTAACTGTTTGTGACCTAGCTAATTTGTTAATGTTTAAAAGTTACGCCAAACATTAATATTTAATATTGTTTTTCATTCTTACAAATTAAAAACAGTTATGTATCTACAAGTTTAAAAAAAAGTATTTGTTAATATTAAGACGAAATATAAAAAACTATTAAAATATAAGATTTACTATAAATCTTTTTTAATTTAGATAAAACCTACTCTAACATAAATATAGGGCCTTTTCATGTGATTTGCATGAAGTACTTTTATGCTCTGATAAGATAAGCAGCAGAGAATATAGGTATTACCCTGATAGCCCCACTTTAAACCGTAGAAAGGTTATTGGTATTTTTATAACAACGTAATCAAAACCGGCTACTTATCAGTGCAGTAGCCACGGGGATTGAACCCATAAAAGATCAAAGCTCAAAAAGTCTCCTATATATTAATCATATATATGCACCCACCTTTTCCAGGATCCGATGTGGTGGTCATTCCCGCTGGTGTGCCCCGCAAGCCCGGCATGACCCGCGATGACCTGTTCAACGTGAACGCCGGCATCATCAAGGACATTTCCAACTCCATTGCCAAGAACTGCCCCAAGGCCCTGGTGGCCATCATCACCAACCCGGTGAACACCTGCGTGCCCATCGCTGCCGAGATCCTCAAGAAGGTGGGATATCTAAGATATGGGTGCTTAGAGTTATAATACTATACATCTGATTGCCAGGCTGGTGTCTACGATCCCAAGCGTCTGTTCGGTGTTCCACCTTGGATGTGTGCGTGCCCGCGCCTTCATCGGCCATGCCCTGGGCGTGGATCCCCAGAGCGTGCAGATCCCCGTGATCGGTGGCCACTCCGGCGTCACCATCCTGCCCGTGCTCTCCCAGAGCCAGCCCCTGTTCAAGGGTGACCAGGCCACCATCGAGAAGCTGACCGTCCGCATCCAGGAGGCCGGTACCGAGGTGGTCAAGGCCAAGGCCGGAGCCGGTTCCGCCACCCTGTCGATGGCCTATGCTGGCGCCCGTTTCGCCGGCTCCCTGCTGAGGGGTCTTAACGGCGAAAAGAACGTGGTCGAGTGCTCCTACGTGCAGTCCAAAATCACGGAGGCCACTTCTTCTCCACTCCCCTGGTGCTGGGCAAGAGCGGCGTAGGAGAACCTCGGCCTGCCCAAGCTCAACGACTACGAGAAGAACTGCTGGAGGCTGCCATTCCCGAGCTGAAGAAGAACATCCAGAAGGGCATTGACTTTGCCAACGCCTAAGCGACTCTATTACACCAAATCCATCCCCAAAAACCGTGTACTTCATTAGCGCCCATTGTGAATTGGCATACTTCCCTTAGCAAATCTTTCGTCTTAAGTCCAAAGATTAAACAGATCTACGCTCAGTGTGTGGTGAATAATGAAACCAGTTGATGTCTGAAATAAACAAATTGTAAACTTGGATATGATGCGGCAGTGATTCTTTGTGTTAAATAAATAGAATTGGAAAAAGGGATTTGGTTAGGAAAAAGCAGTTATTGAACAGATTTTTGTAGGACCCTGAAAATATCTGAGTTATAATAGTGGGGAGATCTCATGTATTTTTTCCGATTCTGTAATATCAAGAGAGGTAAATTGGAGTCCATTTTACACTGCTCAAAAGGAGGAGTTCTTTTGTTGACTTGTTCTTGATAATGGTATTTGCAATCCGGAAATTTCGACAAGTGTAGGCTACACTGTTGCAAACAACCACAATGCTCACACGCACAGGCCCACACAGGCACAATCAATTAAGCTTCGTTAAGATCAATTTAAACTTGCCCGCATGTCATGACGGCCCCCTCCCGACGCCCATGAACAACCCCTCCGGAATCCCTACCGTGACTTTGGCTCAGAATCCAGTGCGTACGCGATTCGGAATTTCTTTTTCAACTATATATATATTGAATATTTTTTGTAGTATTATGCCATTCTTATTTTTGTCTACACAAAGAAATATGTAAAACCAATGGAATTTTTTGACTGTAGCTACAGTTTATTAAATTCCATTTTGTTTTGATAGTAAGTCGTACTCTTTTATTGTTTGTCAATATGTAAGCAATTCACACCTTCTTGCAATCAAATATTATGTTAATTATGATATCTGTAAAAAAACGTATCAGTCAATAATGTATCACAGTTTGGTGCTAAATTCATTGGAAAGGGTTTATGGTTTTACTGACAATTTGGTGACCCTAAAAAAGTTGTATCAATCTGATTGAAAGATATATATTGTATAAGTATGTTGGATAACGATAATTAATATTTAAGTGGATTTTATTTTTTGATAATAGGTGCAGAACTATGAACATAAAAAGAATATTTCTTAATATTTGAAAAAATGTCGGTAACACTCAAAACTATGCTTTTGAAATTAAATATGCCATTAATAAATTTTAAGTTTTAAGTTGGATTTTTAAGCTTTATCAAAATTAATCAACTTTATATTTTGGATATGTTTAACTAAAGAGTTGTTTAAGATTCAAGGACCATCAGCCAATGGGAAGTTAAGTCAACGGCATAATCTTTCAAAGATTGTCTTGAACCTATTGTTTTTTTTCATAACTCAACATTGATTTGCACTTGTTTCACCAATTAAAGTGCCTGGCACCATCTCAAATCAACTAAATTGGATTACTATTAGACAATTTGATTTGTTCATTAAACCGAAGACGATGCAGAGCCACAGTTTCAATAATTCTAACCTATTTAGCCGTTGAAAGGGGATGGGCGAACACACCCCCGTCTTAATTATCGACGATCGAAAGGCAACGATAACAAGACCAAAACAATCAATTGATACAATTCCATTCATAAAATCAAATCGAACTGCAAGCGAAAATCACGGAGCGCGGGAGACAATTTGATAGGCCAGTCGATTCGAATTCTTGGGGTTCCGCCAATTGGCAGAACGCTTTTAATGAAATAATGAGCAGGAATCAATTTTCCAACGCCGGCGCACGTACTATATGCGATACAAAATTAAATTGCCGGCCGGCGTTTTATATTAAAACAAATTGGTTACCATGGATTTACCAGACCCGACACTCTGTTTTTGTAATCGACCTTGTACAATTTTATTTAATTACAAACAATTAAGTCGGCGCACAGGCAGCACAGCGCCAAAAACGATAAGCGACGCCCACCAGAAAGACAGTGTCAAGTGCAGCAGCAGTTATTAATTAATTAATTAATTATTATCGCACAATGCAATCAAGTTGTTCATTCATAATTTTCAAAGGACCAAATTTGAATTTGAACGTGCGCTTGATATCGATAGACAATCGTAACGGACTAGATTAAGTCCCGTTTACACTGTCGCACTAATGCTATCGATTTTAAAATGCAGACCATTGCCACAACAAAATAAATTAAGGAAAATGTTTAAATTTTTTAAAATTATTGATCTTTTTTATGTGTGGAATAATTATAGATCTCAAATATAAATATTTTTGAACAAAACGAAAGATGCGAGGATCAGACCCAGTGTAAACATGGCATTTCGAGTGTTTTGTTTTCGAAAACAGCGTTTTCTGACAAATTCAGAAGCTCGAAAGCAATTTGCTTCGCCCGGGCATCGATTTCAATTACATAACACCACAAATTGCTCTGGGACACCGATCGTGCCGCTTAAGTTATCAGCCGCAGATGCAGCGCGCTCAGCTGGCCCATTAAATGGCGCCTTCGCCATAAATAAGTCACAATTGTCGGCAATTAATTTGAATTGCGCTCACTGTGTTGCGATTTTTCGTGCATCGACAGGCCCAGAAGAAACCCCAAAGCCAATTACACCAACCAGGCCCAGCGGTTGACATCTTCAGTTATCTTCTTTATACTATATGCCCCATATATAGTGTCTGATATGCGCTAGCAATTGTGATTGCCTTTAATTTATTGGCGTCCTCTCTCACTTTCCCTTTGATTGCATTAAGCTTTTAGTGCGATTTGTGGGTGGGTGCGAGGATTTTCAGATTTCAAAGGGTTATTTAAGAGTTGTCTCGGGAGGTATTGATTAAACAGAAAACAAGGTCCAGTCTATGGCATCATAAATATTTATAGTCTAATGAGACTCGAATATTTGAATACATTTTAAAAAAATGCATCTAAATTTCGAAACAAACAAGCAATATTTTTTAAAGATTCAATACCTTTAGCTTGTATCTTGGGACTCATACTGGGACCTCTTCATTAAGTCTCAGACTTTTAAAATCAACCAAAGACTTCACTGATTTTAAGGAATGTGATACAATTTTAAACTCCCCCATAATTCTTGAACTCTGATCTTTG